AGGAGAGAGGAGAGAGGAGAGAGGAGAGAGACAGAGAAGACCTAGAGAGAGGGTGCTCTGGTATAGACTGCTGACATCAGAGACTGACAAGTCCAAAGCTTGAGGTTCAGGCAGCCATTGGTTTCAGTCCAGAAGCAATGAACCAGATGCAGGATCTTGACTGGGTAGAAAGACAGTGAGTGCGCGCGCGCGCGCACACACACACACACACACACACACACACACACACACACACCCCATGCAGGCCGGAACCCTTAAAAGACTCCCCCTACACCAGATCAGCACTAATCATACAGGATCGTTACGTTAGACAGAATCATGGTCAAGCTGACGCATAAAAGGAGGAAGACTCATCAACAGTTTGTTATGCAGATGATACATCCTCGCTTTACCCCAACACACCTAATCCCATTGCCCGTTACCATCTCAATCCATCTCATCTGGGGTCTTCCTCTCCTGCGTTGTCCCTCCACTGTTTCAAGCATGATGTCCTTCTCCAAGGACTGGTCCCTCCTTGCCATGTGCCAAGTGTATGTGAGATGGACCTGCAAAATCTTTGCTTCGAAGGAGAAACTTGGTTTCTCCCTCTCTGAGACAGATTTATTTGTTCTCCTGGAAGTCAATACTCTTCTCCAGCACCACAACTCAAAGGCATCAACTCTTCTTCTGTCATCCTTAGTCATTGTTCAGTTCTCTGGTGCACAGCAAGGAATTGAAAAGAGCATGGCCTAGATCACACACACCTTAGTGTCTAGATGGACAACATTGCTCTTTAGCACTGTGGAGAGGTTCCTGACAGCAGACTTCCCTAAAGCAATTCATCTTTTGATTACTGACTGCTGGAGCCAAGAGTGTTGATTGTGGGGCCGAGCAGGCTGAAATTGTTAACAACATCTTCTCTATCAATCATGGTTCTGCCGTTTGGCCCAGTGGTGAGAATCTTTGTCTTCTTAATATTAAGCTTCATTCCATATAAGACTACAGTCTCTGACCTTCTTCAGTAAACACTTCAGGTCTGCTTCAGTTTCAGCAAGCAAGGTTGTATCATCTGCATAACACAGTTGATGAGTCTTCCTCCTATTCTGATGTCACACTCCTCCTCATAAATAAGCATTGCCTCTCATAAGAATTAGTGATGTTGTTGGACAAATGATTTGGTTTCTTGGGTCTAACAGCTAAATGACATGTGGAATTTCGTGCCGTTCTAACGCCAGTGACCATCTTCTTTCTCACCCTTTGCCTCCTAAAGCAAAAAATTACGACTGGGAGTCTACCAGCCTAGCATCGAGACTTGGAAAGAGCAAAGACGGGACCACTCATTAGTCATTCCATTTCCAGACTTCCACGCCAAGTCTGTGGACCATGACGTGATGCTGATCAAACTGTCCAAAGCTGCCATCATCAATCACCATGTGGGGACCATAGCCATTGCCCTAGAGCCCTTGACCTTCAATGAGTCCTGCTTTATTCCTACATGGACCTGGAACAACTACAGGAACCGTAAGTGCTAACTGTGGCTTAGTCCAGGGAGGGCTGCAGCTGGGGAAACAGCTGCTGGAAGGAGCGCTCTTCGGCCAGGGTGGTCGTTGCCAAAGTGGGACAAAGAAATACAATCCAAAGAAGCTGAAACAGTGCAGGTGTGTGACTCCTGACCAAGTACTTGGATTCAATGCCCACACATTTTTACCTCAGGGGAAACCACAATTGCCCTGTAAAGATTTCCAAGATTCTCGCTTTGAAGACAAATTTCACATAAACAGATTATTACATCTTTCCCTCAAGAAGTGGCTGATAGGTTGGAACAGACTACCTTTCTCACCCACATCTCACAGTGACTCTATGTACAGTAGCTCTGAACCCTGCCCTGTCCTGAGCCAGTCTCACTGACTCCAACATACCTAATCCCATTGTCCCTGTTACCATCTCAATCCATCTCATCTGGGATCTTCCTCTCCTGTGTTGTCCCTCCACTGTTCCAAGCATGATGTCCTCCTCCAAGGACTGGTCCCTGCTGGCCATGTGCCCAATGTAGTGAGATAGACCTTCAAAATCTTGCTTTGAATGAGAAACTTGGTTTCTCCCTCTCCAAGACAGATCTATTTGTTCTCCTGGCAGTCCGTAGTATATTCAATACTCTTTGCGAGCACCACAACTCAAAGGCCAACTCTTCTGTCATCCTTAGTCACTGTCCAGCTCTCTGGTGCATAACAAGTAATGGCAAAGACCATGGCCTAGATCAGGTGCACCTTAGTCTCTAGACTGACATCATTGCTCTTTTGGTTAAAAGATGAATGCTTAGCCCACTCCCCACCAGAGCTTCTTAATTGTGTGATCCTTCCCCAATGGCACAGGCAGTGAGTGCTATCGCTCAGGAACCTTCAAGAGTAGAGTGTTAGACTGCATCAACTGTTCCCAGGGATTGCTGGAGGTAGACATGAGTGCATGTGGCAGAGAGGGTCATGGGCTCACTTCTCATTTCCCCCGCAGTCAGTGACCCTGACATGCTGACATGGATCAATCAGCACCCTCTACCCGTCGACCAGTGTAAGAAGATACTGCTCCAGAGAAACTTGCAGAACTTTATGTGTATGGGGCAGCCTCTGAAAGTCTCAACGAAGGTCAAGGTACTCACCACTCTGCGTGATTGGGAGTCGGGTCGTAGGAAACCGAGGGCTATTTGTCTTCGTCGTCCAGTGCTGCTGTAACAAACACCACAGATGAGTGGCCTTCACAAACACTCCTTTTCTCACATTTGAGGAGGCTGTTGTCATTGCCGTGAGCCTTTGAGTAAGAACTAACTCATCGCTGACACTCCAGTGGGTTTTCAGGGGCCGCAGGTCACGCAGGAGGCTGCTCATCTTCCTCTCTTGGAGCAGCTGGTGAATTTGAACTTCCTGCCTTTGGGTCGGAAGCTATCAGAGCTAGATGTCAGAATTCAGGTACTAGCTCAAGGGGAACAGTAAGTTCTCAGGGAAGGTCCTTTCCTCGTTTCCGCTTCCGCTCTCCTCCCTGACTATCTTCACGTGGCTTGACCTCTATCTTCACCTGTTTCTACTTGCTTTATTTCTATACCTAATCTGCTGGTGTAAGCCAGTATAAAATTTTAAAAAAATGTGTTAAAAACCAAAAAAGAACATGTTTTATACTGATCATGGACCCATTAATGCAGCAAACAAAACACTATTCCCGAATTGGGTTATATCTGCAGGTATTGTTTCTTGTTGCCTTCGAGTTGAATACTACAACAGAAGCAAACCCTGTCCCGTTCTTTTCTCACCTTACCGGTGCTGATGTGTGTTGTTATAGTTCACTGTGTCAATCTAATCTATCTTGTGGGGCTTCCTCTCCACACCGGATATGTATTTTCCAAGCATGATATATTTTCTCAAGAACTGGCATCTCCTGATAACGTGTTCCAAATGTGTAAGGTGAAGTCTCACCATGCTTCCCTCTAAGAAACGCCCTGACAGCACTTCTCCCAAGACAGGTTTGTTCTTTTGACAATCCATGCTACATCAGTGTTCTTAGCCAACCTCATAATTCAAAGGCACCCATTCTGTCTTTTTTCTTTATTAACGAGCTTTCACATGTTTACAAAACAATTGAAAATATCATGATTTGGATCCTGTACGTTTTCAGCATAGGGTTTTGGCACATAATCCATAATGATAATACGTATGCAAACACTAGGCGGTTGGTGAATAGTTCCCCCTTTTAGAACAGAAGAGCCCTGACAAAATGCCTGGCTCTCTTTTCCTCCTTGCACTCAGGTTGGCCAAGCTTGACTCAGTCCAGATGAGACCCAACTAGACTCCAAGAAGGTTGTTGCCTATCAAGAAGAATGACTATGTCCCTTCGCTGTCTCGGCTACTATAACAAACCCCTTCTTGGGATCAGCTCATGGTTATGACTACAGAAAGGTCCTGACCCTTGTTTTCTCCTCCTGGCAGGAAGTGCCTGCTTCTCCAGCCGTCTGCGGTGGACGGATCCATGGCATCCTGTCTTGGGTGAACGGCAGCGTCACCCTGGGAAGTGAAGCATTCTTCACAGAAATTCATCACTATGCAAGATGGATCTTGAAAATCATCAGTACTCACTGAGGTGCCGCGCTCCCCTCTCCCCTGGATGCAGCTGCCTCATGATTCTACTCGTGCTCCACCACTTTTCCATCTGTTGTTTTGAGTGAAGTCCGAATAGAAATCATTCCATTAAAAAAAGTCACTAAGAGCTTACCCCGTGACTCCTGTTCCCGTTATTTAGGGAAACTATAGAATCAGATAAGTGATCTCATTCTATTTCCTGCACTAAGAAATGACCACACCACCAGAATGTTTGTATTGCACACGCTGGGTGCGTAAATGAAGAAGACATGACCTTTGCCCTTAGTGAGCAAATGACACCCCGGTGACAAATGCGGTGGTGGGGAGGAGCATTAGTGAGCCCTGGACCAACTCTTCTGGCTGAAGGGGCGGGGGTGGCACCACAGAGGCAGGTGTAAGAGGGGAGTCCCGGTCTACCTGAGACTGATCTGCCACAAAACAACTCCCACCTTTGAGGAACTAACAGACTGGTGGAAAGGAAAGGCAAATAAACACGCAATTGAAATAGAGTAGTTAGGGCTAAAAATGAAGGTGAGAAAGTCAGAGGGAAGGCCATCTTGCATTTTTCCCATTTACACAGTGTGTAAGAAAAGGGTAGTCAGAAGTTATGTTTTCCCTGGATCTCAGAGGAAGACAGGAGATTTTTCACCAGAAAGAAGAGAAGAAAGGTATGATTCAAGGGGAGGGAGAGTATAGGTAAGGGGTGTCCTTAAACTGAGGTATGTCCAAACTAGACACAGAGTCAAACAGAAGTTACACACGTGACATGTACTTCTAGGTGCTTGCTGGCCTGTTAGTTATTCAGTGCTGCTGTAACAGATTTATCCTGTTACAGTTCAGGAAGCTCTAAGTCCAAACTCGGAGTTTTCGCCCTCCTCTCTCTACTGGCTGTGGAGGGAACTCTTCGTTCCCTTAAGCGTCTGTAGGCCTGGTGTTTCCTGACTATCTCCGTATTATCTGACCTTCCCCATTGTTCCACATTGGTGTAGGGACCTGGGTTCTAAAATATGCACTCTGTTCCTGAGAATTGTTGTTTTTTTTTAATTGTTGTTGTTTGGCTTTTTTGTTGTTGTTGTTGTTGTTTGTTTTTGACAGTCATGAGGTCTCCTGCTCTCTCACCCCATTTTCTTCCTCTTTTATCTGTAGTAAGATAAAAGATATTACAGACCACAGTGTTAGGGAAATTCCCATGATACCTGTTTAGGTTGTAGGATTAAAGACTGTAGCATTACATTCCGAATTCTTCTCAGTGATTTGGTTTACCAATCATGGGGGAGCGTCATAGCATTCACATTATATACATGTCTTTTCTGGGGACTGGATACAATCCATGGCAGTTGAGTTCCTTTGGTTGATTGGGTTTGTTGAGTTTATGGATTGGTTGGTTGGTTTAATGAGAAGACTTCGTAGCAGACAGAGGGAGAAAGGTCAGCCCAGTGGGCTGGGTGGTGTGTCAGTAGAGATAACTTCGTGTCACACAGATGAGGACTGGCATCACACAGACGGGAGGGGTCAACATCTCATAAGTGGTCCAGGGAGAGAGAGACCTGTCCTTAAAGTCTGGCAAAGGGGAGGACAGAGAGGAGACTGGAGATGCCATGGCCATCCACTTTTCCCAGTTTGGGTACTTTTTTCTCTGAAGAAGGAAAGCAAAATCACAATTCCAGAACCACTCTTTCCAAGTACGAGTATATACCATCTGACCTCTCCTCTGGCCCCGTGGACACTGATCCTATCTCTGCTCATCTGACAGAGTGTCTTCTGTAACACCCTTCCTCCTCTAAGAAGATTCAGAGGACACTTCCTCTCAGACTCGGGCCACCTCCTTGTACTATCTTGTCTACCCCTTTGACTCACTGCTGCCAGAAATCTGAACTGGACCTCATTGCTTGAAAGACTTAGGACATGATGATCAAGTTCATTGTCTTTTGGACTCTCCTGAACTTGCCAGGTGAGTGCCCATGAATTGCCCTCTCTACTTGCTTTCCTTCCTCTGATGAATGTTGGGCATTCCTCTACCTACCAACCAAAGAGAAACCTGGGGGAATTAGATGGATAAAACTGAAGCACAATTACAGACTTCAGTGCAAGACTGACTGTCTCATCTCTGCCATCCCATCAGCTTTCCTTCCTCAGTCCAGCCTTGAACCCTTCTAAAGTATGATATTGGAGCATAAACATGGGCAGAGGGAGTAGGGGTGGACAGCAGGATTCCAAAAGCATGGACATCTTGGTCATGGCTCCAAGGTCTCATGCAGAAACCCTTGTGTCACCGTAAGTCTTTCTCTGACATCTCACATTTAGTCTGTTTGCAAACCCTTGATGCCGCTGTCTTCTAGACGTGCCTCAGTTGAACCGTCCCTCACTGTCCCCCAGCTTACCCATTACTGCTGAGTTTGCATGACCCCCTTGGGCTTCAAAGGCTGTAAATCTCTGTGGCAGCACCGTCACATCTTTCTCCTGCGGAGCAGCTGTTGAATTTGAACTATCACCTTTTCAGTTAACAGCCTACTACTCCACCACTGCACCACCAGACTCCTCCTTCACTATCTACTGATCTAAGCCCCCATCTCGTGGCTGGATTATTAGATGGCTTTATCAACAGGCCCCTCTGTTTCCGTATTCTACATCTTACAGTTCTTAGTAAGGAAATTCCCGTCACTCATTTACACAAAACCCTAAGCACTACTAACCACTAGAATTTCACTCAGAGGAGAACAAACAGATATGTGTTGGAGGAAATGCAATCACAGTGTTCCTTGGAGGCAAAGTTGATGAAGCTTCATCTAACGTATTTTGGACATGTTCGTTAGGAGAGGCTAATTCCCTGGAAAAGACATCATGCTTGGAAAGCTGGAGAGTTAATGAGCGAGAGGAAGGCTCAGTGAAAAGGACTGATTCAGGGTCTGTGACAACGGACTAACACACATTGGGATGAGAAGACTGCACAGGACGAGACAGAGTTCAGATATATTGTTCATGCGGTTGCTACGAGTCATATTTGACTCAACAGCACTTAACAACAACAATGACTTGATATTTATATTTTATAATTATTTTTACCGTGTCAGTTATGGTAATCTCTGTCAATAAGGGTGTATGCCTGTGAAAAGTTGAATTGCGGAAGTTGTGATGTATGTACAATAATAGAATTGGGGGGAAACAAGTACGGAGGCTGCTTATATACAAGAAAACACTTGATACTTGACTCCTTGGTTTGAGTTCTTAGGGTCATGATTTCACGGAATAGCTCAACTAACTGGCCTCACAATGTGTTTAGTGCTTCTGTTCTACTCTCCAGTTCATTGCCTGGGGTTTTAAAAAACTACAAATGGATATCCAAGGCACAGAAATCAGTTTCTCTTCATCTGGAGGAACAGAGGAGGGGAGAGAGTAGGGAATCGGAAGGGCCCATGGAGTGTGCAGCTGATGGTTTCCATAAGCAACTTTGACCTTTGCCATGAGATTGAAAGAACTGGGTGGTGCCTGACTGATGTTAATGAACAATTTGATCCAACATTCTTTAAAGGAATCCTGATCAAAAGGGTGAAAATGTAAAATGGAATTTCAAATTCTTTAGGACTCTAGACTTTCTAGAGCTATGGAGCCTGGCTGAACCCATGAAACGATTTCCCCGAGATAATCTTTAAACCTTAAACTGAAAATGCTCCCTGAAATATTCTTAAAATAAAGCAATACTTTGTTTAGCTTATCTAATAAAGAATGACTTGAACATTGCCCTATTTTAAGATCCATTTATACCGGATCATGTTGACAACGTTTTAGATGCCTTCAGGTTGGAACTGGCTTATAACCTATTCTCACTTAACTCTAAAGGGTTTTCAGCGTCTGTAAATCACACGTAGATTGTCCATCTTTCTCCCTTAGAGTAGCTTGTGGATTCATACCATGTGCCTTTGGGTTGTCAGTACAACCCTTTACTACTAGGCCATCAGAGCTCTCTTATATTAATTATAACTCAAATATGAAACAGGAGCCTTGATGGGGAATCAACCTTAAAAAAAGAGGGTGGTTGCATAACTCTAAAAATACAATCACTGGATTCTACACATAGAAAGTTGAATTTAGAAATGCTTTTCTATGTTTATTCTCAACAACAGCAAAATAGATAAATTTTAGAAATAGATTTGTTTTAAATGTAGAAAATGAAAGAAAAAGAAAATTCCTGGACTCTGGTGTTACATAACTTAAGTTCTACTCATAATTCTGTCATTTTGTGGCCTGCATTTCTCAGTTTGGATTCCGTACTGTATAAAATATAAACACCTATTTCCTACCTCACAATGGTGCTGGAAGAAATGGATGAGATTTGTCAAAGAATTCTAAAAATGTCAGGATGGGAAAATCCCCATGGGCTGATGCAAAGTAATACCCATCGAACTGTGGAAGGTGTTTAAGAAAACTGGGATTTAAAAAAAGAAAGCTGGAATTTAAATTTGAAAAATATATGTTGACAATTAAAAATGAAAATACCTTTCATTCTTTGAAATAGATGGATTGCTATTCTTTCTTTCCAATTGTTTAGAGAAAATTAAGCCAGTTTGTTATTTGGAAAGAAGACAGAGGTGCTAGAGAAAAGAGTAGAGGAACTTGGAGCTTTAAGATGCAAACCATTCATTTCTTTAAAAGCATTCTGGTTTTCCTTTGTTTACCCTAGCCCTTTTAGCAGATCTGTGAAAAGCTGGGCTGCTTGGGTGGCAGTTCTGATTTCTTTAGGGTATATCCCAGTAGTAGAATTGCTCGGTCAAATGGTATTTCTATTTCCAACTTTTTGAGAAAGCACCATACTACCTTCTACAGTGGTTGCACCATTTTACACTCCCACCAACAGTGAATTAAAGTTCCAGTTTCTCCACAACTTCACCAGCATTTGCTATTTGCTGCTCTGTTGAATTTTGCGATTGTTACTGGGATGAGATGACATCTCATAGTTGTTTTGAATTGCATCTCTCTTACTAACTTGAAACAAAAACAAGAAAGTTGGGCTGCTAAGGGTTAGGTCAGTGGTTTGAATCCACCGTCCTTTCCCTGCGATAAAGACAGGCAGTCTTTGTCGTTCACCTTTTAAACATGCAAAATAGAATCCTAAACCAAAATCTAAAACTGTTTCAATTTTGCATTTTGATGTTTTGTGATTTACTATAGAAAGTACTGTAGAAGTATCTCTAATTATGAGAAAATATGGTGAAATGCCCCCTTTTTAATATGTGGCTATAGACTAGATAGAGCTACACTGTTAACTGCCCTGGGTTTCATAAACAAAAAAATCTAGATAAAATTCAACATTTTATAGTGAATGTAAGAAAATTGGGTCACCCACCCTGAGTCAGCCAGCTTGTGTGTGTGTGTGTGTGTGTGTGTGTGTGTGTGTTTGGGGGGTATGGTTTCTCTAGTGATTCCTGAGAAATCTCACCTTTTCCCTGTCTGTTTCTCTTCCCAGTTGCTTTGCCTTTCAATCCACATTACAAAAATGGCCATATGGCTCCACCCTACCTGGCCTACCTGAAATCGGACTACCTGCCCTGTGCGGGAGCCCTGGTCCACCCACTCTGGGTGATCACCTCAGCCCACTGCAACCTACCGTGAGTGACAGCCTTCCCAGCCACTCCAGCTTGGGCCCAGACCCTTCCTGGGCCCTCCTCCCCGTGCCTGAGGACACGGAAGCTCAAGGGGAGGGTCAGGATGGAGACACAAGCCCCAGGGGAGGAGCTCAGAAAGGCCCCTGAGGGTGGTGAGGCATCTCTGTCACGCTCCGTCGTGAACACCCATGTATCGTTCCAGAAAGCTGAAGGTTGTCCTGGGGGCAACAAATCCAGGAGACCCCAGTGAAGACCACCTGCAAGTGGTCAAGTACGAGAAGATGATCCACCACCCCTACTTCACAGTCACCTCCGACGAGTACGACATCATGCTGATCAAGCTGGAAAAAGAGGTTCACCTCAATGACTACGTCAAGCTGGTCAACCTGCCCCACCAGGACGTCCCTGAAGACACCATGTGCACGGTCTCTACCTGGGCCTACCACCTGTGTGACATCTGTGAGTGCCCTCGTGTGGAACCACCCTCGCCTCTCAGAAGTGGTTCCGCTCCTGTGCCTTCTCTGAGCTTGTGTAGTCTGGCCAGTGCAACGGTCTTCTAACCTCCTTCCTCCTCCTCCTCCTCCTCACCTCTGTCCCTTTCTCTGACTTTCCAGTCATCCTCCGCTGTCCCTGTCAGTTTTGTTTCCATCAGAAGATGCTCCCTCTGTGCATGTCGACATGTGTCTTTATCTCTAATTAACTGTCTTAACACCAGGTTTCTTTACATTTGAAGCTAACTCTACAACTGGGTACAGGATAAATCACACACAACCAAACTATTTTGAGCAGTAAAATAACATATGATCTTGAAATACCATGAGATAAACATTAATACATTAAATATAAAAAATATGCAACATACATAATAGGTGCTAACTCAGATTTTATTTATGCAAGAGTCTAATAGTAATTCTAAAAAGTTAAAGAAATGGTTTTTAAAGAAACCTCTTTAACAAATAATTTTTTTTTCTTCAAGCGAACTGACCAAAGACTACAATTGTGTGGAAGTCGTCCATACATAGTAATAAGAAATTAATGTTTTGGAAAAATGCATCAGAAAGAGACATTTTTAATTGATACATTTTCAACATTGATTCAATCTCAGGAAAACTGACCAAAGAAATTCCTTGTCCTTTGAGGATCCATTTGATTTTTCGAAATAACCTAATGTCTTTCCAGAAATCAAGAAGTTTTATTACTCTAGATTATATCATTTTGGTTTTTATTTTCAAAAGAATGACTTAAAAAAGAAAACTGGAAATGATTGCTGGACTGGATAATAACCCAAGATATCTCACAAACTGATGTTGTTGTTGTTGTTGTTGTTGTTGTGTATCTTGAGTCAAAAACAACTCATAGCTGACCCTCCAGTGGGTTTCCAGAGGCAGCTTAATCACGCAGGGGAAGATGGCCCATCTTTCTCCGGCGAAGCAGCTGGTGAGTTTGAACCTCTTGCCTTCAGGATTTCAGCACACCTCCTCACCACTAGGCCACCAGAGCTCCCTAACAAACTAATAAACGCCCTTTCATCCAGTTGAGAAAACCCAACACATGCATAATGCCGACACATTATTTTCAAATAAAAACAGTAAATGAAATGTCCCTCCTACCCAGGAAAGTAAAATTTCAAGTTAAAGCCCTTCTTTGCAAAGAAGAGCTTCTGCCAAGCACACGCAGACACATGACTCCATTCTTGCTTTTCTGATGTCGCTAAAAAAATTTTGAAAGCCAAATTTATGAAGCCACCCAGTCCGCAGTATTTGTGATTTAAAGGATACACTGGGTTGCTCTGCTTCAAAACCAACTCAGTGGCACCTAACAAAAATAAAAGCAAAGTAAAGGAAATGTGAATTAAAACTTAGAAAGCCCCTCTGTGGCTCCTGGTTTGGCGTGGTGGTAGAGAACTGCACTGCCAGCGTGAAGGCATGTGGTTCGAACCCACCAGCTGCTCTGAGAGAAGGATGGGCAGCCTCCTCCCGTGCCATTTAACAGCCTCTGAAAACGCACTGGAGGGGCAGCATGGGGACGGTCTGACTGGACAGTACAAAACAGTGACAATTTACTACCGATTACCTTCATACTTTCAAGCAAATACTTTTTTAGAGTAATTTTTTAGTAGAGTTTGGGTTTTTTTACTCAATCAGTGAGAAACGGTGTTTAAAACAACCACAAAAATCCCTCTTTCCATTGCTGTCAAGTCACCCCCAACTCCTGTGGACCTTGCAGGACAGTCTGAAATCTTGGTGGGATCAGATCATCCATCTGTCTCCAGTGGAGCAGCGGGTGATTTGAACTGCCAGCCTTCTGGCTAGTGCACACCAGGTTAAAGACACCTAGATGCCTTCAAGCTCTAAAGATTTCATATCAAGGAACACACTTTAAATGTCTCTATTTCCAGAACTTTTTAGGGCAATTTGTCTCATTCCATTGCAGGGTCCCTTGTGTTTACGTGGCATTTTCACAAGGGGGAGTGTAAGGAGAAACATTGCCTGATAATCTTTTGTGTCCTAGCTGCTTGTTTCCCAAGAGTTTGACTTTTCTCTGCCCAGTGAAAGAGAAATACATTGAAAAGGAAAAACTAAGGTTTAAGGTTTATCAGAAAGTTCTGGTGGCACAGAGGTGAGCATGCCCTGTTGCTAAAGGGTGGTGGTTGGAAGCCCCAGCTCAGGGAAGGACAAGCCTGTCTGCTTCCCTGAAGAGGTGCAGTCGCCACGTTCTTTGGAGCAGCTCTACTCTGTCCTGTAGGATCCCTGGGAATTGGAAGCAGCTCCTCAGTTGCAGGTTTGGGGGTCTGGGATAGGTTGCTGTGAGTCAGGGTTGTGAGCAGGGCTGGGAAGGTAACTGGTTTAACTTCTCCTTTTCTGTAGCTGAAGACCCGAACTCCATGCAGGAGGTTAACATCACCGTGCTCTCCAGGGTTGAGTGCCAGGACGCCTACAGGACCCACCCCATCCGAGAGAGCATGCTGTGCCTGGGTATCGTGCCGGGAAGGAGACAGCCCTGCAAGGTAGGGCACCTCGGGGCCTGCCCCCACTGCCCCCCGTGCCTCCTGCCTAGTGACAGCTGACTTGGCGTCCCCTCTTTCTCTCCAGGAAGTCACAGCTGCCCTCGCAGTCTGCAATGGAACCCTCCACGGCATCCTGGCTTTTGCAGATGGGTGTGTACTGAGAGCGATGTTGGCATCTATACCAGAATCTTCACCTACATGTCCTGGATTAAAAATACTATCAAAAAATACTGAGCCCCTATGGCAGCCCTCCTGGGCTGCGTGGCACAGCCAGGCCAGAATTAAACGTAAATGGACTCAGGATGATGCCGTGCTGAGGAAGGTGGGTGACTGAGCCCTGATTTGTCCGGACCTGGGTGGGGCTGCCCACAGTGGCTTGAGATGAAGATGGCAAACTCTGTGTCCTTTGAAAAGCCACAGAGCTTATGCAGTGGCATTGCGCTCTTCCTGACAAATGGATCCTTGGAATTGACTTCATGAAGAAAAGTCCAACTCCATCACCATTTTGGGAGCCCCCATCTTTGTGGTGGATTAGACCCTGGAGCTATTGCTGGGTTATACTTGCCTGCTGGCCAGAGAGGAGCTGGCCGGAGCGGTGGGTGGAGGCGAGAGCAGAAAGGAGGTGAGGTTGCTTGCGCCTGGGCTGCACTAGCCTGCTGGCCAGGGGAAGGCTGGTTGGGTTGGGGGTGGAGAGGTTACCGCTGGGTTTCCCTCACTCCTGTAACTCCCAGCTCCAGGCAGATTCCAGCCAATCGTCGTCAGGATTCTGCCGAGGGATTGGAGTTCCCATTGGTGAAGCAATGCACAAAGCGCGGGGTCAGCCGGAAGAGTTCATGGGAACGAGACCTACGTGGGGAAGCATGCTGAGCGGAGTGACAGTGTCTGTGCTGTAACATCATGCGACGCAGGATGTATGAGTGGTTGAATGAGAAACCAAGCTGACTTGTCACTTTCATTCAGATTACATGCACCCAAAGTGAACTGAGGTGGCTTATGACCCCCAAATTTGGCCATGAAGTGGCTTCTGATCCACAGGTAGATAAACCAGGGTCATGTGCTCCTAATGCACAGAGGTTCTGAACCTCAAACCTTCCACTGCCTGAGTCAGTTTCAACTTCCAGTGACCCTCCATCAAGTTTCCAAGGCTGTGACTCTTTACAGAGAAGACTGCCCACCCTTCACCCAAGTTGCTGCTGGTGGATTTGAACTCTTGATCTTACATTTAGAAACTCGCTATGTTACACACTACATCTCCAAGGCTCCCTGGTTCTAGCCTCAAGGGCCTGCCATCCCTGGAAGGAAGCTGAATGCCCTGTGCAGACAGACTTGACCTCTACAGGCTTCAAATGCAAGACACTGCTCTTAGATGCCAGTATCAACTTTAAAAAAAGCTGTACACAAAATGTTTATAACAGCTTTTTTCTTTACAATCCAAAATTAGAAACAACCTAGAGTTCCTGCAAATGATAAATTGTTAGATAAACAAGCATTCATCCTGTGAAATATTATTCAGCAAGGAAAAAAGAACGCTTTACTAATACAAGTAACAACTAGGATAACTCCAGAGAACTATTTCTCCTCAGTGAACTAAGGGAATCTCAACGTTTATATACCTCTTAATTCCATCTATGTGACAGTCTTGAGATGGCAAGATGATAGAAACCGATAACAAATTACTGATTGTTAGGGATTCAGGAGGCAGATAAGCCGGTGTCCCCTAGCCCACTGTGACCTCTGCCCCCTGCCCTCAGGCTCCTTCTGTCTAAGATGGAGTTACTGGTAGGAACTCTCTTGCCAGAGAGTCAAGAGTGAAGTCACAAGGGCAGCCCTTGGGCTAGAGGTTGGCACAGTCTGAGGGCACATCAGAGCTGACGCTGTCATGGCGATGGTGAATTTCAGGGCGTCCAGAGCAGCATTTTTGCCCTTCCTTGGCCTCCTATCCCTTGGCGATCAACACCGGTGAGAAACTCGAGTTCTCCTAACATGTTAATGCTGATAAGAGGTCTCTTCTTTCAGTTTGCAAACCAGTGAGCTGGAAAACACGATTTCAAGCCCCTGTATCAGCCATCTCTCTAAGCCCCATGTGCTCCAGACCTTGGGATGGGGGCACAGAGTGGGGTCTCCACATGCGAGTCACAGACACTATACACACACACACACACACACACACACACACGGACAGCAGTCAGAGTGGGCAGATACCCCGGCAGTCCCCACTCAAGGGGTAGCAATGGCCTGGCTGCCTGGGAGTTGGCACATCCTGGATCCTGGACCACATTCACCTCAGAGCACCCCAAAACCCCAACGGGGGAGGAGGGACATGTCTGGAGATGGGGACCCAGCCATGGCCCTGAATACAAGCAAAAAAGTACGTCTGTGTTGGAGTGTCCATGTCCTCCCCTGGGAGCCCACCTCACGGTGCACACCATCGTAACTGTAGTGGGGGTCACTCGGGAGGCTGGACTGTAGGCAAAAATGGCCGGGAGGTGAGGGCACCACGCTCAGTAGATCAAGGAGACGGGCCCAGGGCTGCAGGCCTGGCTCCTGTGCCCTGTGGGTCCTCCCTCTCCCTGCAGAGAGCTGGCCCCCAGTGGGCAGGACCTCGGCCTTGGCTGAGCTCAGGTTACAGGGCCGCCTTCCTGTCTCTATCTGCCCTCCCTCGCTGTAATCCTGGGGAGATTGGGATCACAGTGTCCTGCTGTCCTCTTGCCCCTCAAGGTCAGGCATCCCTGTCCCCAGGCTCCACCTCCTCTCTGGACAGTTTCCCCTTTCTGAGCCAGCTAAGCCCCTCCCCACAGAGGTTGTCACCCCAACTTTACCACATCTGTCACACCACTTAACACAGATTAGGTGAGACCCTGGCCCCCCTCCTGAAAAGCAGTCAGTAAGTGGCACATGGTGGAGATGAACAGTGGGTCTGGGGACCTCATTGTGGTCTGTGAGCCAAAGAGGAGCACACAGGAGTGCTGACCCGGGACCTGGCCCCTGAGTTCTGTGTCCCTGATCCCTGGGAGGGCAGCTGATTGGTCCAGGTCATTGACCTCTGAATGGCCTGGCCCCAGAGTCTTTGCTGGAACTCTGTCTCTGACCCCTAGGTGGCCTGGTCCTGTTCTTATTACCCCTTGGCGCTTCTGTTGCCCCATCTGAAATTTAGTTAAATTGGCACCTTGGGGTAAAGCAGCAGATCTGAAGCTCCTTTCAGCTCTGGGGAACTGAGCTGCCTCCTGAGGGTCTTCAAAGCTGCCACCTGCCTGTGTGCTCCTCGGGGGTCACTACTGGCTGATTTCTCTGGAAGGCAGGTCTGACGAAAGCATCACCAAGGAGAACTCACATGGCTTCTGCGCCCCTCTCTTTCCTGGAACTTCTCTGGTATGTGCACAAACTCAAAGCTGCCCAGACGTGGCCATCGGAAAGCAGATTAAGTGTCCGCCACCTCTCAGTGTCTCCAGGGATTAACAGTAAAGACTCCTCCAGCAGATACGCCTTTCCCCACCCTCCCAGCAACTTCGCTCCTGCCGTCCTGCCATGGGAGACTGGAAGGTCTACCTGTGAACACATGCCTCGACTAGACCCTCGGCTCTAGAGGATGAGACGGACATGACCCTGAGAACCGGGGTGGGAAGACAAGCACCAGGGCTACCTGTAAAGATGTGCAGGGACACAGGAAAGCAGCGCAGCAGGAAGAGGGGACGGGGAGAAAGGAAGGAGCTGCTGCAGGCCCCAAAGCCCCTGACTCTGCAAGTCCTCGCTGGCAGGATGTGGTATGGCTGGGGTGGGACATCACAGCAGGCCCGGGGAGGCCCGTCCTGTGTCCTCTGTCCCTCACTTCTCACCTCCAGGGTTACATAAGAGGGACCCAGGGGATAATCGGCTCAGCAGGCTCCTGCCCGCCCACCCCGAAGCCTGGCACAGTGGAGGCTCATATAAACAGGGACCGCCAGGCCTTGCAGAAGGCCAGATGCTCTGCCCTCCGGGAGCCATGACTGGCGTCCTCCTCTTCCAGCTCGTCTTATTTCTACCCCTGGCAGCCCCTTCCCAAGGCCATCACCATGGCCCTAAGTCTCGCCTGCGCTATTCCAGGTTCCTAGATTCATCCAATGTCCTGTTCCTGCGTTGGGACTTTGACCTTGAGGCTGAAGTCATCACGTTCGAGCTGAAGGTCCGGACAGCCGGCTGGGTGGGCCTGGGTGTCACAAATCGCTACACCAACGTAGGTGCAGACCTGGTGGTGGGCGGCGTCTTGCCTAACGGCAACGTCTATTTCTCGGTGAGTCTGAGGGTGACTCCCTCCCCGGGGCAAGGGTTCTCTGCGCGGTAGAGACAGCTGCTTGCCCGCCATCAGGAAGCTTCCTCATAACCTAAATGCACCAAGACACAGTCCCGGGACACCTGCTCAACACTGAGCTCATCCTACAGCAGAGGCCCATTTTAGAACTCAGCTGAAGACTTTCAGATTCATGGCCCAGAGCCATCAGACTGACCTGCACCCAATACTTGCTAATAGCTCACTTACTGGAAGTGCCTGGGAGGGCTCAAAGCTGTTAGAAACCATCTCTGTCCTCTTTTTCTCATTTGCATCTGTGGACAACATGATGTACTCTTACAAAACCCAGAAGAACAGCTTAAAACTGTTAAGTCCTTCTGATTAACAAAGCAATGTTCCAAATTGATTATTGCACCTATTTTATGTAGGAAGAAACATCTCACTTCCTCATCTCCCCCATCACCTGTCCTGACCTCTCTGTCATTCTTTCAATCAGTTAAGGTGAGGCACGTCAGTTAAGTGAGATGTGTTAGGACGTCCGCTTCCAAGGGTGGAAGCCTCTACGGGAAGCTTAGGATGCACAGCATGAATGTTTGAAATAGGAGGAGCCAACCAGGTCAGGGCCACCCTTCCGCCAACCATGGAACCAGGTCAGGACCACCCTTCCACCAGCCACGGAACCAGGTCAGGGTCACCCTTCCACCAACCACGGAGCCAGGTCAGGGCCACCCTTCCACCAACCACGGAGCCAGGTCAGGTCCACCCTTCCACCAACCACAAAACCAGGTCAGGGCCACCCTTCCGCCAACCACAGAACCAGGTCAGGTCCACCCTTCCGCCAGCCACGGAACCAGGTCAGGGCCACCCTTCC